GTCTGAGAAGATGCAAGGTAAAATTTCAATTCATTTGATTCTGTTGAGGTTTGTTTTGTGTCCTAGGATGTGATCAATTTTGGAGACTGTTCCATGGGATGATGAGAAGATTATCTTTGAGATGGAGTGTTCTATATACATCTATCAAGCACAATTGTTCTAGGGTCTCATTAAAATCTCTTATATCTTTGTTTAATTTCTGTTTAGAGGATATGTCCACCTCTGAGAAAGGGGAGTTAAAGTCCCCTGTTATGGTGTTATTGGATATCATATTGCTCAGACTAAGCAAGGTCTGCTTCAAGAATCTAGGAGCATTTAAATTGGGCAGATAAATATTTAGAACTGAAATATCTTCTCGTTGTATTTTTCCCTTGACCAATATAAAGTGACCATCTTTGTCTTTTTTGACTTTAGTTGTTTTAAATTCACATGTATCTTAAAATATGATTGCAATCCCTCTTTTCTTCTGAATTCTTTTTGCCTAAAAAATTGACTTCCAACCCTTAACTATGAGTTTTAATTTGTCTTTTGATGTAAGGTGTGTTTCCTGCAGACAGCAAATAGATGGTTTGTGTTTTTTAATCCAATCAGACAATCTATGCCTCTTCAATGGGGAATTCAAGCCATTGACATTTGTTGAGATAATTAATAAGTGTGGTAGCATTCTATTCATCTTACTTTGTGAAAGTCCATTGCTTAGTTTTGTCTTTTGCATCATTGTGGAAGCTAGGTTTTGTCCTTAATTTCTGGGTGGTTACTTTGCTCAAGGTTCATTGTGATGGTCATTGTATAGAACAGGTTGAAATATTTCCTATAAAGCTGGTCTTGTTGTGGCAGATTTCCTCAATGTTTGCATAACAGTAAAAGATTTGATTTCTCTGTTAATTTTAAAGCTTAGCTTAGTGGGATATAGAATTCTGGGCTGGAAATTGTTTTGTTCAAGTAGTTTAAAGATAGATGACCATTGTCTTCTGGTTTGAAAAATTTCATTAGAGAAGTCCGTGGTCACCCTGATAGATTTGCCCCTGTAGGTCAGTTGGTGCTTACTCCTGGCAGCTTGCAAAATCTTTTCTTTTGTGTTGACTTTAGATAGATTCATCACAACATGTCTTGGAGAAGCTCTATTTGAATTGAGGCAACCAGGAGACTGATATGCCTCTGAAAGGAGTATATCAGAATCTTTGGTGATATTTGGGAAATTTTCATTTTTAATATTCTCTAGTATGGCTTTCATTCCTCTGGGGCATTCTTCTTCCCCTTCTAGGATACCTATAACTCATATGTTTGCTTTTTATTTATTTATTTATTTTTGCAGTTTTTTGCTGGGGCCTGGTTTAAACCCGCCACCTCTGGTTTATGGGGCCAGCACCCTACTCTTTGAGCCACAGGCACCACCCTAACTCATATGTGTGAACGCTTTATAAAGTCACATAATTCTGTCAGTGAATGTTCTGTTTTCTCTCTCTTCTTTTCTGCCTCTTTTACTATCTGAGATATCTCAATAGCTTTATCTTCTACCTCTGAGATTCTCTCTTCTGCATGATCGAATCTGTTGTTGATACTTTCTATTGCAGCTTTAAGTTCCTTAATTGACTGCTTTAGTTCCTTCAGCTCTGCTATATCCTTTCTGTATTTTTCATATCATTTATCTCTTATTTGATTCTGTTTTTAAATTTCCTTTTGGTAATTTTCAAATTTCTCAGCAATTTCCTTCATTGTTTTCATCATCTGTATTTTAAATTCCCCTCTGTCATTTCAAATACTTCTTTATAGGTGGAATCCTCTGCTGTAGCTGCCTCACAGTCCCTTGAAGAAGTTGCTCTGGACTGGTTTTTCATGTTGCCAGGACTTTTCTGCTGGTTCTTTTTCATGAGTGCTTTCTTGTATCTGTTTCCTTGCCCCAATTTTCCTTTCACTTCCTCTTGCTCTTTAAGTTACTTTGGCTCTGGCTTAAAGTTTTAATAAGTCCTTTTTTGTACAGAACCAGGAGGGTGAGAAGATTGAAGAGCAAGAAGGATAAAAAGATTTTAAAAAGAAAGAAAAAAGAGAAAGAAGAGGGGGTGATTAAAAGGAAATATTGACAAAAAGATGAAAGGCACTAAAAGAAGGAGACAGGAGTAATATAGGTTTATAGTAGGGTACTTTGACCTAACCTTAGAACCCCCCCAACCTCTGGGGGTGCTGGGTTGGGTTGTTCCCTTGAGGTCACCAGCTCTTTGCTAGCCTGTTCAGACACAGTACCCCACCTCCACCAGGTAGAGAAGAAAGACAAAAATACTATAAATCAAACCAAAACAAATAAACAAAAACCCTTATAGGATAAAATTGGGGAAATAAAAAATAATAGGGGCAGAAACACTGGCAAAAATGAAATTGTAATTATTATAGAAGGCAAAAATGGAAGATTGTATTTAAACTAGAATAGTGGAAAAAAGGGAGAAAAAAGAACAAAAAGGAAAAAAAAGAAAAATGTGGAGGAAAAATGTTGAAATTAAGAAAAAAAAAAAGCAAACCCTCCCCCAAACCAGAAAACCAGTGTATAGGTCTTGCTGTATATTGTCCAGGCAACAGGTGATCTTCTGAGGTATGAGATGTTAATCACAATGTTTATATAGCTGTATGAGATGGAGACTGGAGGCCTCTGCTGATTTCTCCGACCCCGCAGGCTTGGGATCCCAAATGTCTCCTCAGCTGGCTTATAAGACACGCCAAACTGTGAACCTTGGCAAAGCAGAAGCTTTCCAAGGCACGCACTTATCACTGCTTATCACTGGGATCTCTCCTGGCATGGCTGTCCACTTATACAGTGCGCCCAAACTGGTCTCACTCTATGGCCCTGAAGGCCAAGGCTGTAATCTGCCAAACACTTAGATCTCTGCTCTTCCTCAGCGTCTCAGTCCCCGCCTTTGGGCAGCTCAGTCACTAGATTACTTGCCCAAGGTCTCCTGACTGATCCCTGTGCTGCAACCCACAGGGGCAGCTCCCCCACAGTGGCTGTGCAGGCAGCCCACAGCTGAATGATATTAGTTCAGTCCGGGGCCCCAGACAATGCCCAAAGTAGTCTGCACACCGCCCAAGATCTCCCAAGGCAGTTTGAGTGCCCAAGTCCAAAAAAACCAAAACAGCCCACAGGTAAGGCTTTTACTGCTTGCAGTCTTGCTGTTGCTATGGTTACCCCTGCAGGCAGCCTCCGAACAAACAAACGCACCTACCACTTGCCAGTTTTCCACTGCTTTTGTCCTCCTCATGGGGTCCAGAAGTCTCTCGCTGACTCCCTGTGTCACCAAAGGGAAGTTTCTGGGCAGAACCCACCAGCCAAAGATGCCTGGAGTATTCTCTCCCCAGTCTCACTGCAGCTGGTTGCACAGAAGCTGTTACTTGGCTGCCATCTTGCTCCATTTCATTTCTTTTTTTGAAAGCTTGTAGTCCGGAAATTTGCCAGGAGTTTATTGGTATTTTTCCATTATAGCCTAGGCCTGACATATTTCTGTTTTAGCCTAGGCCCACTAGGCATAACACCAAGAGTCAAGGTAAGATGCTGAGTGACCACCCATTCCAGAGCAAAGGGGTTGATTAGAATTTATCGTGACCACTGGGAGGATGGGGTTTGGTGGGAATTCCCATGACTTTTGCCTCAGGAATCTGAGGATGGTGAATACCTCAGTCTGAGGGAGGAGGCCTTAATATCATCAGAGAGGCCTAGGCCCTGCTGGATTTCAAAGTAAGACTCTGGGTGAGGACTGAGGGAGTTTCACAGATATGGACCTGGCCTTTTCTCCTTCCCTGGGACTACAGTGAATAACTATCAGACTGAGTTGTCTCCTGACTTCTACCTTGGTTTGCAGGGAAGTGAGACCTGTTCTGAGGAGTGCTTCCAGTGATCAGAGAGAAGAATCCTAGCCCTTAACAGAAATCAAGGTAAGACACTAAGTGGGTACTGGGGGGACCACACACTCCAGAGGAGTGGAGGCTCCAAGGAACCCTGTTCCTGCTATTAGACTTGGTAAGCCGTGGCTTAGCTGACAGATTTCAGTGCTTTCTGACTTTGGCTTTAGGAGTGTGAAGGTTGTTGTCTCAATTCAGAGTGGGAGGCATCTCAGTCTCTTTCAGGGGTTCAATTGATGACCCTTATTAAAGACCAAAACAACAAAGTCCCAACAGACATCTGCAACCTTCTATAAGTTCTGGAAGACCTAGGCAGGTATGGTTTGATGAGGACCCCCCTCTCTTTCTTTGATTGGTTATTTGTTTCCTCTCTCACTTACAAAAGGCCAGAGGTCAAAGAAAAATCTGTGAGTCTGAAGCACTCCCTCAATTATTTATTCCTTATCTCTAGGAAATTAAGTCGTTTTTGGAGGTGGCAGGCCTTGGTTCAGTAGAGGGAGGAGTCCTAGATCCTTCTTGGGGTCAAAATAGGGATTTTGAACAAGGACAGATGGCACCACTCACCCCTAAAGAAAGAAATATACCATAGACCCTGACCTCACCTGCCTTGTCATAAGTTCTGAGAGTCCCTGGGATGAATTGGCCGGCTTCACTTTGTAGAATCTCTGACTTCCTCTTTCAGCTTCTTCTTTTCTTGAGACAGAATCTCACTATGTCACCCTCCATAGAGTATGATGGTGTCACAGCTCACAGCAACCTCACTCTTGGGCTTAAGCGGGTCTCTTGCCTCAGCCTCCCAAGTAGCTGGGACTGCAGGTGCCCACCACAATGCCTGGCTATTTTTTTGGTTGTAGTTGTTATTGTCATTTAGTAGGCCTGGGCTGGGTTTGAAACTGCCAGCCTGGGTGTATGTGGTTGGTGCCCTAACCACTGAGCTCCTTACAGGTCAAGACAGGAGACTTATCAGGCCCTAGAGCTCTGCCTTCAGTATGAAAAGGGTGGAGGCAGCTTTTATCTTTATCCCAGCTATCAATAACTGATGAGGCCATTGACATTTTTCCTTTCCCCCTAGGGTTGTGGTCCACCGTCATCCAGGCTTCTAACAGAGAGTGACCATGTCTCAGAATCAGAAGAGTCCATGTGGCACACCTGAACACCATTCCTGCAGTGAGATCCAGGTCTTCAAGGCTATGGAGGACAGCTGTCCCTCCTCCTCTTATTCTCTAATGCCTGGTAGCCTAAAGGATGCTCCTGCTGCTGAGACACCCAGTACTTCTGAGGGACCTCAGAGTACCTGTTTATCTTCTGTTGTCCCTACAACCATCTTATTAAGCGATTCAAGTGAAAGTTCCAGCAGCCATGACGAAGATAGTGTGTCCTTGTCAGAAATGCGGGTAGATCCTCTAGATGGGAAGGTTGCTCTTTTGGTGCAGTTTCTGCTGCAAAAATATAAAATGAAAGAGCCAATCACAAAGGCAGATATGTTAGATACTGTCATCAAAGAGTGCAAGGATGATTTCCTTGAGATCCTTAAGAGAACCTCTGAGGGTATGGAGTTGGTCTTTGGTGTTGATGTGAAGGAAGTTGACCCTACCAGCCACAGCTATGCCCTTGTCAACAAACTGGGCCTCACTTTTGATGCAAGGCTGAGTAGTGATGAAAGTGTGCCTAAGACAAGCCTCCTAATAATAGTCTTGGGTGTGATCTTTATGAAGGGCAACCGTGCCACTGAGGAGGAAATCTGGGAAGTGTTAAAAATGTTGGACTTACATTCTGGGAGGAAGCACCCCATCTTTGGTGAGCCACGGAAACTCATCACCAAAGATCTGGTGCAGGAAAAGTACCTGGAATACCAACAGGTGCCCGATAGTGATCCTCCATGTTATGAATTTGTGTGGGGGCCAAGAGCCTATGCTGAAACAAGCAAGATGAAGTTGCTGGAGTTTTTGACTAAGACTCATGAGTCTGATTCTTCGTGCTTTCCATTGCATTATCAGGAGGCTTTGAGAGATGAAGTAGAGAGAGCCAGAGCCAGAATTGTAACTGAGGCCAAACCTAGCAGCTCCTCCCACCCCCAGTAAAATCTGAGGCAAATTTTTCACTTTGATCCTATTTAGTAATTCATTAGCTTCAGAATGTAAGTTTATAAATGGCATTGGTCATACATTTATTGCTATTTCTGAAATTTAAGAATGTGAGTTTTGCTTATTTGTAAAATAAACTTTGAAAGTGACCACTTTATTTTGTGATCTGGAAATGATAACCTGGCATTCAAATAGGCATTTCCTTGGAACTGTCAACCCAACAGCAAAATAGTTGTGATCAATTTTTGTTTTTTAACAAAATTGAAAGATGGTTAATTCTTGGCTTCTCTTATCTCTTTTACTCTGTTGTTCTGTAAAATTACACGATACATGTATGCGTTTGCCTAGCTTACTTAAAAATGTATCAGAAATAAATCTTAATAAATTAGACTACATGTATACTGCCTCATTTATTCCACAAACATCAAATGAGCATCTGTTTTTTGAAAGCACTGTCTTAGTACTGGACATGTTAAGGTAGACAAGACTGACTATTTGCCCATAGATTTTATAGACTATAGGAGCAGCAATCGTGTGAAGTATCCTTCAATACCAAAAGAAAAAGTAAAGAAGAGTCCAGGGGCAGTGGGAGGGGCCGTGTATGAGAATAGTCAAATGTAAATGCCCTAAGGAGGCAGGCAAAGGCCTTGGAAAACTGCAAGCCCTTCGCTGGGGGTTAATTTTAAATTAATCTGGGTAATATACTAGATGAGGTCATGAGAGTGGTGAACAGGGGCCAGACCCTGGCCTACATTTTTGGTGGGAGTGAGTGGATGAAAAAAGAAATAACTATTGGAAAAGTAATGGGAGGGAAGAAGTTGGTGCTTGACACAGTTTCTAGGAGGTTCGAGTATTTCTAGTTGGGAAATAGTTCCCTAAATCCAAATTAAATAATATATCATGTAATGGGGGAATATTTACTGAAATTTTCTTGTTAAGCAACATTTTTGGCTGACTTTGTGTGCCATGTCCTAGAACACTCTGTATTATCACCTATCTCTTGGATATATAAATTCCAAGTGAGAGAGTGGTAATGTCTGGGGTCAAAATAATCTTAGTAGTACCTACCAGTCAGTAAAGATCCAATGCATGGTGTCAGGTACTATGCTGACAGCTTTATATACAGTACATACATTCCAATAGACTTACCTGTAAGACTACGTATATCAAGCCTATCTCAAAAATAAAGAATTCAAGAATCAGAGAGCTTGGTAATATGCCCAAGTTCACATGGTATATGATGGAGCTGGGACTAGACCTCTGCCAACATTGTTCTGCTCCTCCCAGACTGAAGCTGGTAATCTGCTGGTTGATTTCAACTCCTGCTCTTTATATTTCTTCTCAGAGTATTAAAAAAAGGAACTTGTAGCCAAAATACTAAGAGCAGATGTAGAGAAGGAATGTGAAAATGAGAATCAAAAACAATTGAAGAGGATTGTTCATGGGATTTATTGACTCTGGTGCAGCTTTCTAGTCCTAGTTATTCTGCCCATTATAACACCCTTCACCTAGATCTTGCCCAGTATACCTCCTCCTGTCAAAATATGGAACCTATCTTTATGATCAGCTCTTCACTGTGTGCTCCGCTAAAGGATGAATTTGCTCCCAATGGAACCGGTGGCCCAGAATCACCTGCCATCTTCCTAACTTAGAGTAGCTTAACTTCCTACAAACATCTCTTGGCTGACCCACACCATGGAATCCCTCTAATAATAGCCCCTTTTATGTGAAGTTTTCTTTAAACAGTAATGTTTAGACATGGTCATCTCCCATGGGCCTCTTTACTACATTCTCAAAGTGTTTCCTACTTGAGTTCGTTAGTAGAGTCTAATGTGGTATAGGATATAGACTGATTCTTGGGATGCAAACCTGATGTTAGAGAAGTTTCTGAAAACATCCTTCTATTTATAGTAGGATTTTAATGAAGTATTGAGATTGACCACTGAACATATACCCCAATGAATGGGCTTACCCAGGGGGTCAAAACCCTAAGCCACTCCCTTAAGTGATATATATGCACGTTAGAAAAAAACCAAGGGATATGTAAACAGACCTCTGTAAATCCTGAATCTGAACTCCAACAAACCTTAGAGTCCTTCTTGGAGGTAGAAGGAATGGCAATGTCAAGGATTTTTTTTTTTTTTTTTTTGGCCTATATGCTAGCTACCTTTGGAAAAAAAACAAAACACAGACCTGCACCATCCTTCCATTGCCTCTTGTCTGTGTGCTTTCCCCAGAGGAAAATCCTGGGGTTTTGTGTGCCTAATGGCACCCATATTGGTGATCAGGCAAATGAAGTCAGGCAATGTGTAGCAGGGGCTTCTTCTAAGTTAAGGGTATGGCCATATACTAAATGAAAAGGGAAAATTCTCAGCTTGTCAAGATTATAGAAGTTATTGCAAAGGACAGTACAGAAAGATTCTATTAAGAAGAGTGAAGCTTTCCTTCAGAGAGTCATAAAATTTTCTTGAAAATCTGGTATAATCTTGTATATGAAGGCATTTGTCATACGGTAGGATCTCAAGAAAGTTGGTGAATGTCAAAGCTAATTTGGGCTATTCGGAAACTCCTCGAGAATTGTTATCCTTACAAATTGTAGGCTTGGCGCCCATAGCACAGTGGTTGTGGCGCTGGCCATATGCACTGAGGCTGGTGTGTTTGAAGTTGGCCCAGGATAGCTGCATAACAATGACAACTGCAACAACAAAATAGTGGGGCATTGTGGCAGGCACCTGTAGTCCCAGCTACTTGGGAGGCTGAGGCAAGAGAATCACTTGAGCCCAAGAGTTTGATGTTGCTTTGAGCTGTGATGCCACAGAACTCTACAGAGGGCGACATAGTGAGACTCTGTCTCAAAAAAAAAAATTGTAATAATCACTTTTTATTGAGTACTTGCTATGTAATAGTTACTGGAAGAGCCTGCAAGCACTTATCCACATCCTGTCTTGATCTCCTTGCTGGACTCATGGAAAACTAATTTGTCCAGTCCATTTGTAGTTAGGAAGGATCATGCAACCACCCTTGCCCCTGATATATGAACGGAATCAATAACCATTTTCAGGCCAAGGCATTTGAAATCAAAGTGGCCAATCTTAATTTTTTCTTCTATTCAGCAACAAACATAGATTACTTATGCTGAGATACGGAGCTAGAAGATAGAAACAGTGTGGAATTGTGAGTTACCTGATAGCAACCAGGTTATGTTATGTTAGATTTTGTGTGCACAAGAAATAAGCTTTTGCTGTGTTAAGCAATTCAGGTTTTAAGGTTTTTTTCCTAAGCTTTGTGTTTTATGTCAGTTAGCAATTCTTTATCTAAGTAATATAGATAAAGTTGCTATTTATATTGTTAAGCTTGTTTAAGTATTTTAATGGTAAAGCTAAAAATAGTGCATATATTTTTGTTCCAAATAGTTCAAACAACATACATAAATCAATCCCCTCCCTTTACAATGTTCCTCCAAAATTCAGCTTTCTCAGAGGGAACTGAAATAAAAACTCTAGTGTCTACTATTTTTAACATAATAATGTAATATTTTATTCCCTAGATGTGCTCTAAAATGCCTTCACTCCATGGGTAGTGATGTATATAATGTTCTTCCACTTGCCTCTGTCACTTAATAAAGTGAATACAGCATCATTCCATGGCAATAAGCATCAATCCACCTATTTTAACTATTCCCTGGAATTCTAAATTATCTCTGTTCCTTAATTAATTTAGTCGTTCTCCTGATTAACACATAAGTTACTCCTTATTAGTTGCTATGATATGTGGCACTAAAATTAAAATTAATATCTTTAAACGTCAATTCTTGGGCACATGTGCCTGGGGCAGACAGAGCAAAGCAGAAATAGAGATAAAAAGGACATACAAATTATTAGTTTTTATAAATATTTCTAAAATGTCATCCCACAAATATTTTACTAATTTACATTCTCACAAATTAACGTATAAAATACTGCTATTTTCATAGATATTTTGTTTTTTCAATCCTTCACCTTTTGATCATACCTATGTGCTATAAAATGTGTCCCTGTTATGTTAATTTAATTTGATATTGTCATTTTCATTAATTTAATTAATATCCTTTAATTAAGTTAAGCAGAAAATTAACTTAGTCTTTCACACATATAAAGAATTTCTTTAGTAGTATTCTTGTTACAGGATTCCTCTGGGCATGCTTTAAAATTCTCGTGTCTCAGAGAAGACAATGGGAGACAAAACTCTACAATTTTAATGTCAACAAGATAATTTTCCCTTCACATTGAAAAGCAAGTATTTGACCAAAATGACCTGGTGCCAGGGAATGGGGCCTTATGGGACACTCTTAGCTAGTAAAGGGCATCAGGGGAAAGGGGAAGAGTGAAATTTTCAGAGTCCATGAGACGATCCCTTGTAAAACCAAGTCCAGAGAGCCCAGGGCAGAGTGGCAATCAGGGCCTGAATCTAGAATTCAGCCCATTGTGGAGAAGGGGCTATACAGAAAAAAGGTAGAAGATCTGGGTGAGGCATCCAGGACAAGTGACTGAATAAGCTTGAGAAATCTCTGGCTTACCACCACTTCCGGTGGAAATTATTAGATGATATGAGTGGATAAGTCTACTGGATGAAAGGAAAAGAAGCATATCCAACACCCTACCCTGATTTAGAACCCTTGCTACATATTGTTAGGCAGAGCATAGCTAGATCCCCTGCGTCTCTCAGTGGTTAAAAGGTTAAATGATTAAAAGGGTTTGGGAGAGTGACATCCCTTGAGGATTGGGACCCAGTGCATTCTTGCCAATATACCTGGACTAGGATCCTCTCCACTAAGGATGGGGCTATGCAAACGTGTGGGATTAGTGAATGATTACACATAGTTGAGACAGCTTGGACTACCACAAGTAGTGAAAGAGAACAAGAGTTTCTTGTATAAGGGCACTAATCCCATTCATGAGGGCTCCTCCTCATTACCTGATCATCTCCCAGTGTCCCCATCTCTGAGTATCATCACCCTG